ACAAAAACTAAATCCAGACATTTACCTAAGTTATTACTAACAGAGTTGATCTGGTAAAGACTAAGATCTGACAGATCGTTCAAAAATTGATTGAAGAGATCACGAGAGGAATTTGGTACTAGAATACCATCTATTAGATCCCAAGAAACACCCGCAAGATTGAAGTCACCCAGGACAATAACAGTATCGGAGGGCTTCACCATGGCATGTAGAGAGAGCAGTAAGGAGGAGTGTTTTAAATAAACAGAAAGGCTCGAGTTCGGTGGTATATAAGCAGCAACAAGATAAACGCTAATAGAATGATATCTTATTCGAACGCAGAGGAATTCAACTTCATCGGTGTCAGTGAACTCAATTTCTTCAGAAGAAAGGACAGTCTGGACAGCGATTAAGACGCCTCCACCTTTTTTATTTAAACGGTCGTTTCGAAACACTTCATACTTAGGACACAAAATTTCCGAGTTGAACACATTCGGCTTGAGCCAGGTTTCAGTAAACACCAGTACTTTGAAGTCAAAATCATAGGACTGCAAGTGTAACCTTGATAGCTTTGTGTTCAAACCTCTCACATTTTGGTAGTAAATGCTAATGGTGAGGTTACTTATTAGTTTTTTGATGCCGAGGTGGAAAGCGGAAGTTGAGCCAAATTTTGCCCTTGCGGTCTAGATCTAAATTCAAATTCGCGAATGAAGGCACCGCTTGGCCAAAAAGATGGGCTCATTACTCTATCAAAGCAGTCTTCGGATATGTCTATTTTAAAAGAAGAAAAGATGACTAAACCATGTTGGGCATATGGAGTCGAGCTTTGGGGCACAGCGTGCAATTTCATTTTGAACAGACTACAAAGACTGCAGTCAAAAATTTTACGCGCAATATGCGGAGCCCCGTGGCACATTAAAAATACGAATATCCACAAAGATCTTAATGTAAATACGGTCCATGAGGATATAAGAAAGCTAAGCACCAGTTACTCAGCACGGCTAATGAAACACCCAAATCGACTATCAAGAGATCTTCGTAGCCCGAGATATACTAGCAGGCAAAAAAAATGATTTTTCCGATAACATCAAATGATGCGCAATAAAATAAATTTGTATACCCGCATTATATAAATTTCGAACCAGCCTACTAGATTGTAATTACTTAAATATAGAGAAGCGAAGGCGCGTCGTGGAAACTTGTCCAGGCAGGGCGACTCTGGAACTCGTGCTTTCAGACCGCCTTCCCAGCACGATATCCAGCGATTCTGCTGCTCAGAATCTTGTCCATTCCGGCAGCCGCAACAAATGCAATAAATATATATGTAAAAAATTTGAATTTTTAAGCATTGCCGCAGAAACTTTAAATATAATGTTAGTTTGTAAGATTTGAAAACTTTTCGTTAGTTTCGAAAGAAAGATTCAATAAATAAATACATATTATAAAAAAAAAACACCTGCTGTGCCAGCGTTATTATTGCATTTAATTCCACAACACCCAAGTTATAAAACTGTCCTACCATTCACTGCTACCGCGAGCAGAGCCGCGGGCTCAGGCTAGTTCTATCTATATCTATACTAATTATATAAAGAGAAGTCCCTTTTTTTTTGTAACAGGTAATCTCGCGAACGGCTGCTTCGATTTTCATGAAATTATGTATACAAATAGCTTTCGGTAACCACCATGTTTTAGGCTAAAAAAATTGTACTTTTTTCGGGTAGGTGGTCCAGGGACCGGTCTATTCGAAAAAATCTTATTATAGTCCGATTTGCTTAAAATTTAGTACGTAAGTAGCTTTTTAGCATATATTAGCATATATGACCCATTTTTTCCGGGAAGTGGTCCAGGGACCGCTCTATTCCAAAAAATCGCATTTATGGTCCGATTTTTTTAAAATTCGGTACGTAAGTAGTTTTTTGGCATATATTACGATATATGGTCAATTTTTTCCGAGAAGTGGACCAGGGACTGATCTGTTCGAAGAAATCGTATTTATGGTCCGATTTGCTTAAAATTCGGTGCGCAGATAGCTTTTTAGCATGTATTAGCATATGTGATCAATTTTTTCCAACAAGTGGACCAGGGGCCGATCTATTCCAAAAAATCGCATTTATGGTCCGATTTTCTTAAAATTCGGTACGTAAGTAGTTTTTTGGCATATATTACGATATATCCATTTTTTCCGAGAAGTGGACCAGGGACTGATCTATTCGAAAAAATCGTATTTACGGGCCGATTTGCTTAAAATTCGGTACGTAGGTAGCTTTTTAGCATATATTAGCATATATGATCCATTTTGTCCGAGAAGTGGACCAGGGACCGATCTGTTCGAAGAAATCGTATTTATGGTCCGATTTGCTTAAAATTCGGTACATAGGTAGCTTTTTGCCTGGATAAGCTTATAGATTCCTGTTTTCCAATTTTCATGCAATTTCGAATATAAATAGCTTTATGTAACGACCATATCAAGGGGCGAATTCGTCACTAGGCTAGATTTTTTGCGCCAATCAGAAACAACGGATACTGTCAAAATAATAATTATAATATATAATATATCTCAACTAATTTATATTTAGAAAGCCGTTTGTAAGTTTTCGCAAGGCTCGAGAGCGGCTGAACCGATTTTTTTGAAACTGCCACCTGCCGCACGTGTCCCAAGGATGGTTTTAGGCTGAAAAAAATCTATATGTAGAGGGGGCGTGCACTTCCCATACAAACCGATTTTCTCATGCTACATATCTCTGAAAGTGTGCATGGTAGAGTTTTGGAAATTGGTATGGAGATATCCGAAATCAATCGCATACCCTTGGAGAAAAATTTTAGCTATAGTAAAAAAAAAGGGGTGTGACATCTCCCATACAAACCGAATTTTTCATACTGCCTATCTTTGGAAGTGTTCATGGTAGAGTTCTGGAACTTGGTATGGAGATATACGAAATCAATCGCATACTCATGCAGAAAGAGGGCAGCTGTTGGAAAGGGGGGCGTGGCTCCTCACATATAAATCGAATTTTTATACTGCATATCTCTGAAAGTATTCATGGTACAGTACTGGAACTTCGTATGGAGATATGTATATAGTTGAAATCAAGCCCATACTCATGGAGAAAATTTTGGCTATTTGAAAAGGGGTGTGAGGCCTACAAACCTACCGACCTTTAGCTATCTTTGAATGAATTTTTTTATTCTTCTGTAGGTGTGTTTGTGAGTGAAATCCTCCTAAATGGTTGTACGGATTTTAACGAAACTTTTTGTGTATTTGAGTGGCAAAAACGTGCTGCCAAGTGGTGCTGAAGTCGAGCTATTACTAAAAATAGCCAAGTGAGAAAAGGGGCCGTGAAGGTCAGATTAAATCGACCTGTTGCACCATTGAGTATATCGAACGCTCCTGCGTTGCAATTGGCCCAATGGATGTGATTTTGAATATTATTGTGCGTTCAAACTTTTAAGGTATTTCGTCTGAAATAAGTATATGTATATTGCATTTCTGTAGAACAATGATTCACCCACCCATTTTGAAATTGCCACCTACTATACTGTAAAGCTTCTAGGACATTCACTATAGAACCGGGTCATTGTTGCCGCCAGGGAGTGAAGAGGAAAAAATTTATTTCGCTTTGCGAATAACCGTGCTATGAAATGCCGCACAACTGGTGAATTTCAAGAACGGATATAAAACTATGTTCCCATTGGCGTAATTTAGAGGTCAATCTTAATTTACGCATAAATTAATTACAAACTAAGTAATTTCGCCTTGTAAAGTCTCTCAGTAAATTAAAATGAAAGTACGTAGTTTATCTGAAACCAAGAACCAAAGCACGAACAAATCAGTGTCGGCTCTAATTTTATCTATAATAATCGAAAAAAAGTATTGTCCCACAACTGATATGTCATTGTGTTTGGACGTTTTTGTTTTTAAATATCGCGCGTGGTAGTTTGTAAAATATTTCCAGAAGCTTTCTCTTTTGATCACTCATCTAAAATCTAAAAAACTACCACAAACAGCTCAGAATATAAAAATATACGCAATTACTGACATTCGCGATCTCTTTTCGTTAAATAAACAATAACATGGGGTTGCTACAAAGCTGTCAAGACAAATAAAGAAACGCGTGTATGAACGCACTTAATTTAGTGAGGTATTTTAAACGAAACTAAGTATTTTATGTTGGTAATGTGAACTAGTTTAACACTTTCCTTAGGTTATTTAAAGCGGCAAATAACCACCAAACCTTAATCTTAGCAGACAAATGTGCCAATGGAAATCGTAAACGTGAATTGTTGGTAAAAATGTTGGACCAAAAAGTTTCAATAAAATATATAAACATTTTGGGCGGGACGAAGTTCGCCGGGTCTGCTAGTAATAAATACATACATATGTATCTTATACGACGTTTCCACGATTCGTAACTCGCTCTCCCATTCGTCATTCGCCATCCAATTGCCTACCCTTCGGATTACGTAATTCGCCATACAAAATTTTGGGAGGGAATTACCTCATTTGTAGGTAATTCAGATCGAATTACCATGCGAATGACGAAGGAATCAGTGCCGTCTCTAATATTTATCGGATATATATAGAAGTTTTTACGGCACTTTTCCTAGCTGCTGGAAAATTATTTAATAAAATAGTCTCTATATAAAATGAAATCTTTTATAATAACTTGCATTTTTGCTCAATGTTCGATAATTGCAGTACACAAAAATAATAATAAATAGCGAAGAATAGAACAAGTAGTCGAGCTGCCAAACGAGTTACGAATGTGGCGTGGAAACAGGGTAATTTTCGAATTACTTAGCGAATTACTTAGAGAGCGAATTATGAAGCGTGGAAACATCGTATTATATCAATCGAAGTCTTCAATGGGGAGAATTTGGTTAAGCTATGTTATAAATAATTTCAATAAAATCGTTAACAACCTATATAATGTCGATAAATTAGTAAATTTCCAATTTATATTGTATCGTTATTTTAATAAATTTCAACTCAATATTATATCGTTAATTTAAAAAACTTTAAGTCTATTATAGAGTCGCCTGACAAACAGTTAACTTTGAATGAAATTTACAACTGGTTTCAAAACACATTTTGCTATTTTCGGCGCAACGCTGCAACCTGGAAGGTACGTACCAGAAGTAATATAACTAATAACTGAAAGCATACATCTTATGTATATTGGATAAATATTGATATGGTTACTACTTATATATATGCTTATAAGTTTTCTTTACCTGTACAAAAAAAACAAACATAATTACTGAGCCGTATGCATATATGTACATATAATCTTATAAAATATTTAATTAAGCATATGGCTATGTTTATTCATAACACAGGCCAACAAAAATGGGAAACAATTTTGTAACCTAAAATGTTAAAGCTGTTTTTGATAGACTTTTTCATGCTGATTACGAATCCGTAAGTAAAAAGTTTCCATCACTGATAGTCATTTATTGAACAATAACAAAATACTGAAGTATTTCTTTCAATAGCACAATACTCCAGTATTTGTTATTGTTCAATAAATGACTATCAGTGATCATCAAGTCAAGGTGCTCGAATGGTATTTTCAGGGAGTAGTTCTAGGGGAGAGTTCTAGCTTTAATTTGAACCGAAGTGTAAGGTTGCATCACCTTTTGTTTTTTTGCTAGAGCTTCTCAAATATTGCAAAAAACGCGATTTTTTGATACTTTGACAACGTTTTTCTCTGGACGTGATGGAAACTTTTTACTTACTGATTCGTAATCAGCATGAAAAAGTCTATCAAAAACAGCTTTAACATTTTAGGTTACAAAACTGTTTCCCATTTTTGTTGGTCTGTGTAATTAATGACGGATATGTAGAGATATAACATATGGCGTACATAGTAATACCATCGAGGACTTACGATTACACTATGCATGCATAACAATTCTTACATTAAATGTATATCGATTTCGCAACAAAAATTGCGGCAACGTGGCCATTGGTCCGAAGTCAAAAGAGTTTTTATAGGATCACAGAATTATTCGCAGAAACTTTACGCATTCGAATGCTTGCAAAAATTACGAAGAAATCGGTATCACCTAGGATCGTGAAGAAAAATTGTACCCATAGCAAAAAGCATGTAATCCCCATTCGCTTTGAAACTTCACAAGTAATAATACCGGGCTGTGTGAGATTTTTTTTAAATTAAAACGAGAGAAAACTCTGCAGGATACTAATGTGCCTACAGTTAATTTAATAATCAGAAAGGTGTGAATGTGCAGCATTTCCCGGATACAAGCATTATCGAAAATGCACACGATATTGAAGTCCTTGGTTATATGCATTACCATCTACGTAACTCACACCAACCGAACGACTGCCATCAATTATTACATTTTCATTTAAAACAAGAACACATTGAGGTTTAATTTACTAACTGACTTCAAGAGGAGGGAGAGGTTATCAGTGCGTCGGAATATTTTTATTTATTAAGTACGTTACCGTATAACTTTATGGCCTTATTCATAAAAAATAAAGTAGCTTTATAAAAGGTTTATTAGTGAAAAATGTTTGAAAACGTCAATTTATAAAGCTCTTTAAACCTACTTCATTTTTTATGAATAAGGCCATTAAACTACAAGAACCGATTCCGGTAATTCTTATTGAATCATGAAGAAATTAACGGTAATCCTAAATTTGTATATGAGAATGGAAATCGGATTTGTTTTTGATTAAAAATTAGTTTTTTTTAAATAAATATATGTATGTTTAACTAAATTAAAGATAGTTTTGTATGCCATTATCAGGGATCATGATATTTTCCTTTTTTGCCTTTGTCGTCTATAATTAAGTGAATTAAAATTTTTTCAAAACCTGTACATATATTAAAAATAAAAGCCCTACTGCCAAACTGGTGTTGGAAAAACTCAAAGCCGTTTTTTCAGCCAACGAAGATTTGGAGGCAAAAGCAGGGGTTGATAAAATAGTAGAGGGTGTTGGAAAAACTCAAAGCCGTTTTTTCAGCCAACGAAGATTTGGAGGCAATAGCAGGGGTTGATAAAATAGTAGAGGGCGATGTTCTATATATTTCAGAGACTGAAAATTAAAGTCTTTGACATCAAAAAGGCATTAGTTTCATCTCCCATTACAGATTGTGGTTCCTCCATGATTTTTTAAAAATCTGACCTTTATCATTTTGGGCAAATAATACCGATTAATTGTGCTTTTTATTTTTTCAGGCAAAAATAAAAGTCAAAGTTACAAATCAAGTATTCCAGAGTTGTGTATTTTCGAATGTGATAGTTTTGAAGCTCCTTTCTATATTATAATAACCCTCTTATACACAAATACCACGGTTAGCTCAAATTTTATTAGAAATGTTAAAATAAAGCTATTAAAAATTTATATTAATTTACCTCATTCATTTTTCTCTTTTTAACCAACTTCAAGATTTTTATACCCGAGCGCACTTGTGCACAAGGGTATATTAATTTTGTTCACATAACGGTTGTTTGTAACAGCCAAAACGAATCGAGATAGATATAGACAAATGTATACATAAATGATCAGGATGAAAAGAGAAATCGATTAAGCTATGTCTGTCTGTCCGTCCGTGTGTCCGTCTGTCCGTCTGTCCGTGTACACGATAACTCGAGCAAAAATTGAGATATCTCAACGAAATTTGGTATGTAGGTTTCCCTTAATCCAAGGTAGGTTGGTATTGAAAATGGGCGAAATCGGACTTTAACCACGCCCACTTCCCATATAACGGTAATTTCCAGAAATACGAAAACTGCGATATTTTAGTAACTACTGAAGATAATTCACTCAAAATTGATATTTACAATAATTTTTAGACGAAAAATAAGAATATTATAAATTTTTGGAAAATGGGTGTAGCCACGCCCACTTATGGTTACATGTGTATATCTTGGTAACCGCTGCACCAATTTCTTCCAAACTTAACACAGTTGTTGGCCTTCGCACAACATACCAAATGGCCGAAACTTTTTAAAATCGGACAATAACCACGCCCACATCCCATATAACGGTAATTTAGAGAAATACAAAATCTTGGATGAATCAGTAAATATTGAAGCTAATTTATTCAAAATTGATGCTTGCAACAATTCTTTACCAAGAAATACGTTTATGGTAAAATTTTGGAAAATGGGCGTGGCACCGCCCACTTATGATCACATATAAGTATATCGGTAACCGTTCTGCCAATTTGTACCAAACTCGGTGTGGTTATTGTGCTTGCCACATATAAGCAAAACGTTGAAAATTATTGAAATCGGACTAAAATAACGGCCGCTTCTCATGTAACGGTAAATTTCAGAAATGCTTGAAACTTCAATATTTCGAAATTGAAGGACGCTAATTTACTCAATATTGATACACCTCGGCTTACCATCTAGCGGAAGGTTTCGGAAAGGTGAAAAAACATATATTTAATACTTGCGCCGGGTATTTAATGTTCGGCTCCGCCCGGACTTAGACTTTCTTACTTGTTTTATGTATGTTACCGCATAACTTTTGAGCACATTAACCGATTTCGATAATTATTTTTCTGTTGCATGAGGGGAGGTCATAATACTAATTTGGCTTAGATCCGATTGGATCACGAAGAAACGGTAACGGTACTTCTAAATTTTTATATGAGGATTGAAGTCGGTTGTGCTTTTTGCTTCAAAATTACTTGTTATTGTAGCAATTGAGTTGTACCGAGCCCTACAGAGGAATTTATATTGCATAAAGTTTATTATGAGCTTATTGAAGAGTTAAAATACAAATTTGTTAGTTCCCTTAATTGCATGCAAATTTTAAAATACGACTTCGTCTTTACACCAAAATCGTAATTTTTTCATTATTTTTGACTGACTTCAAAAAAAGGAGGATGTTATCCATCCGTCGGAATATATTTTTTTATATACATATTGTAGTGTCAAGAAAACCCGCGCTGGTTGATTATAAATCCAAGACTGACTTTTATTGAAGTAATCCAAATATATGTAAGCTAATACATGCATTATAATGTTGTAAATAGAAGTATGTATATATACATGTGTATGGGATATTAATATGCGATGGTATTTATGCGTGATTATAAGAGACATGACATCCGTCGTTTTTTACAAAATTCAAATTAGTTCAAAATTTACATTCAACATTCAAGTAAGTAAAGAAATAATAAATGAATAAAATGGTTATGGTTTTCTTCTCATGAGTAGCGACATCGTCAGGCTCCATATCGTTCAACTGGTCGAATTATCCGTCCATACCTATTTAGATTTGACAACGGGTTCAATTTCACGCTGTGGTGAGCTCGCTTTACAGATAATGTTAGAGTTATCAGGTTCCTCCAGCGCAGATCGGTTTTCTAACTCTTTATTAGATGATCGTGGATGAACAGCCACTTCCTTTTGCGTAGGTATAGTCGAAGTCGTCGGATGGATAAAGCTTTCCGTCGTCAGTCCGTACATAAAAGGAACGCGGTGAAGATGCCTTTTTTGCAGCTATGCCAGTCACCCACTCTCTATGCCCAGTTTGTAAGCGAACCTTGTCTCCAATAGAAATTGACGATGACTCTTTAGCGTGTCTATCAAAGTGCTGTTTAGTTTCATTTCTAGCAGCCAATAACTTTTGCGGTATTTCGTGTATAATTTTTGGTTTGAGAGTTTCTTTAAGCGTTGGAAGCAATGTGCGTGTGTGCCGGTTCATTAGGCGTTGAGCTGGGGATCTCAGTTCCGCACTACGAGGAGTGTTGCGATGGTTAAGAAGTGCCATATATATATCAGAATTGTCTCTTGAGCACTTGTAAAGTAAACTCTTAGCCGTTTGCACGTACCGCACTGCTAAACCGTTTGACTGCGGATATTTGGGGCTGGATGTTTGTGGCTGAATGTTCCACTGTGTGAGAAAATCTCTAAACTTCCATGAAGTGAATTGCGTTCCATTGTCGCTTTCCATAGTCGCTTGAATACCGTGAACTGCGAACCATTTCTTTAGGTGAGTTATAACTTCTTCTGACGATAAATTTTTTAGCTCTACAAAGTCAAGGAAACCAGAGTAACTATCTACAATCAAAAGATAATCTTTATTTTTGAATTTAAAGATGTCGACTGCTACTATCTCCCAGGGCAATGAAGGGAT